AACCCGGAATTTCTTTGCACGCGCTGCTGTTATAGGGCTCTGAACCACACAAAAACATTGCGCAATATCGGGCTTGCGTTGGTCGTTTGTGTGGTACATGAGGTTGTTTGTACTATAATACATATATATCATTCTTGTTACCATATCGTGTTTAGTGTTGGGTAATTTTTGCTCTTAAAATTAAGAAAATTATGCCAAGAAAAATTAAACTACTAAAAAACGCGAATATGTGGTAGATTTCAAACCTCGAGTGGTAGATGTGGTAGATGCTCAAAAAAGTAGCAGATCTACCACAATGTGGTAGAAGTCTGATCACTGGCGCTTATTGCCTGAAAAGCTTGGTGTCTTCGGATATATGTACAGAGATATGTATGTACAGCTCTACACATAAAATAAGTTTGGTAACTTTTTCTGGTGATTTTGGTAAAAAAAATAAAAAAAATGTTGTGGCAACACTGGTGCCAACCTTGCATAAAGCCATAGCCGTAATCATCGCCATAACCGTAACCACATTAACTATCATCGCTTATAGGCAGGGCTGCCAATATGGCTCTAACCGTGCCATTTTTGGCCCTTTTTTTACTTCAAATGGCACTAAATTATTCAATTTGGGACAAAGTGCCAAAATGGCACTATTGAAAAATAATAATACATATTTCAATAATTTTTTTTTTGAAATCCTTTGCGTGTACTTCTTTTTCACAACTAAAATTTTCTTATTTCTAGAGTGTATACAACTAGTTTATCTTACTTTAGTATTGGACTTTTATTTTAGGAATGTATTTTTAATTTTAATGCTAAATGGGAGAACTAAAATGAATGACACCTTTTTTGGCACTTTTATTTTTCTATTTGGCACATTTTCGCACTTTTTTACCCTCAGTATGGCACTTCATAGCTAAGTTTTAGTTGGCAACCCTGCTTATAGGTATCATAAGGCCAGTATGCAGCTCTCAAGAAAACGTTCAAGAAAAACATTGCCATTATCCGACACTTCACAGCCTGTTGCCTCACTCTTTCCTCACGAAATAATGGAACGACGGGCATATATTTCTGGTGCAAATATGGGTTGCCTTGTGCCCTTTTTTTTACAAAAAATCTTTAGAAACCGTAGTAGAAAGCGTAGCAAAATTTGTTAGCCTATTCTTGTACAGCATTTAATATGGAGTTTTTGCTTTTCTTGAGAGCTGTATACTAGCCTATAACCATAAGCAGCTGATTTTTCGTAGTCAACAATGTCGGTGTTGCCAGACGCGAACAAGACGCGGAAAATGTGTAATATCGTAGGATATTTGCGCAGAACTTATTTCACTATCACTAAATTAACACTAAATTCTTAAAACTCAACAGCAGCTCTTAATAAAATGTGTACATCAAACTACGCTTAGGCGGTTGCAGCGCCAAATAAAAAGAAGAAATAATATCAAAATTTCTAACAAAAAAAAAAAGGTTTTGAAATAAATTTTTTTGTTTATAATTATTTAAGTCTTATTTTTACTTAATTAATTTATTTTTTTGATTAATTTAATTTTAGTTTATTAATTAATTTTTACTTACTTTAACTTTTGCATTATAATTTTATTTTATGTTATGTTAGGTAATTCTTTCACTTTGTTTTATATCGTTTTATTTTATTTCGGTATCTGTTCATATTTTATTCTTTTTTCATATCAAACACAAACATCATCGTAAATGTATTACATTTTTTCAATAAAAGCTATTTAATTTTCTTGCTTACTTTTAAGCTCCTCTTTCACAAACAAATCAATTGAGATTACACAAGAAAATTCCTGCAACACAGCGCAAACTTTTGCAATTCACCACTTCAATGCGATAAAACTTGACAACTCACTTCTCCTAAAAGTATGCCAAAGCCTTTATTGGTTCAATAATTCGCAGCCTAAAAGCATGCCAAGTAAAAAGGTGAAAGGGAAAAGCAGTGGAGCTAGAGCAGCTTGACCTTTCTTATGCTTCGCTGCGGTGACCATTTCATTGAAATATTTTTAAATATTTGTTTTTTTTTGCTGCCTTTAAATCGTTTGCCTTTCACGCCTCGCCGCATTGGTAATTTCGTTTGCTGTGTTGTTATTCGTGTTGTTTTTCGACCCAGGGTTGCTTGCCCTTCGAACTTATAAGTTTTGCTAGCCTACCTTTTGGGTTCCTTCCCTTTCTCCGCTCTGATATTTATGACATTATTTGCAGATTAAGTAGACCCGTATTTATTGCTGTTTTTGCTTGTGAAATTTTAATTTTACGAGCATGGTTTAGTAGTAACAAATTGCAATGTATAGGAAGAGGTGTGCTTGTGAAAGTTGGCAGTTGTGATTTTAGGCGGGATTGCGCCAAAAAATTTGCCAAAATAAATTTCTATACATTTTTATATGTACTCACACTTGACGTGCTAACGGAAAGATGCTGCCGCAAAGTATGCTTTGTTTAGGAGGGTCTATAGCCGTAGCTTTGGGTTGAATTTATTGAAAAAAGAGTTTATTTTTTAAGTAGATTAAAATATTTGTTAGACTATGAATTTGCGGAGTATGTTTAAGTCAAAGGAACTTATTATTCATTTTTTATTTAATTTGAATTTTTTCAAAAAAAATCAATCTTAGAGCATAAGATGAAGGAAACTCTTTTTTCACTTGCAGTAGCACCAGTTAGATCAACCAAACCTATACTAACAAAAAAAAAAAAATTAATAAATAAATCTTTGTTGTTTTACCCCACTTAGCTATTAGCACTATATATATCCATATTATTTATGCTCAAGTTAATTGCAATCTAATTTCTCTTAAGAACTTATTTCTTGCAATTTCAAACAAACAAACAAGTCATATTTCAATTATGAAGAGCCAAAAAATATGCAACGGATAAGAGTGGGGTACATAGGCACATAAACGATAAGCAGGATTCTCTTCTACATTCCAAGGTTGCATTTGCAGTTCGAAAGATTGCTATGTGTACTTATTTATTCTATACTTTAATAGTAGCTTTAAATTAGATTAATGCCTACAAGTATGCAACAATATTTAAAGTTGTCTTTGTTTAGCGCACCGCAGTTGTTTAGCTGAGTTTGTTACGTAATTCGTATTTAAACAAATAAGCAGCCTGAAAGTATACAACAATAAATTTCAAGTGGCTTAGAAGTTATGAAGCAAGTAATGTTAAATTAAATTTCTACATTTTATATTGTGACCAAAAGTATGGCACAGTATTAAAAAAATATCGCTTTATATGCTCTAAAATTTACATACTTACGTACATTTGTATGTAAAAATTTTAAAAATTTCGATAAAATAAAAAGTATTAAAAAAATAAAATTTAATAATGTAAGTTTTGAACTAATTTTTATTATTTTTTTTATAATACTAATACACTATGTTTTTGCTTAATAGAATACTTACAATATACTTATATATAAAAAATTTTCAATATAAAAACTTTGTAAAAAATAATGAATTCGATTTTTTAAAGGGAAAGGTCCATTCTTAGAAATTATTGGTACCGAAATTGGTTTTCAATATTCCTTTTTTAATTTTTGCCCCATTTGAAGAACAAAAAATACTGAACAATAGATACAGTCAGTCAATAAAGTTTAGGTACAGCGAATTTTTTACAAAACGCGCAAGTATTTTTTAAATATTTTTTTTTTAAATATGGTCAATTCTGCAACAAAAACCCCCAAAATCAGAGTTTAGATATCTTAGCGAAACTTGGTGTGTGCTTCTTTTCAGCGTAGGACGGATGGTATTGAAAATGGGCAAAATCGCCCACTTATGCAAGTATGAAGAAGCTAGGACTTACCATTGATTTTTAGGAAATTTTTTTGTCGCACATTTTTTCCATATAAAATAAATTATCAAACACTATTTAAGTTATATGGAGAAAATGAGCGACACCTTTAACAAAAAAAAAAAAAATGCTAAGAATCAATGGTAAGTCCAGCTACCTCAAGCTTGCACTTTGTTATACTGAAATTGAATGGGCTAAAAAACTGTGTACTCAACTTTTTTCTAAAGAGTGTAAATAAAAAGTAAAACATTTGCATGAAAATTTGCAGAATTTTCTTTACTTTTGCATAAACACTGATTTTTGGGGTTTTTGATGTAGAATTAACCATCTTTAAAAAAAAATTAGCAAAAAATAAAATATTTAAACCAGTATTGTAAAAACATCGCTGTACCTAAGCTTTATTGACTTTACAAAAATATTTGTTGATTTTACAAAAATAATATTGGGAGAACTTTTTATTTTAGAACAAAAACTTTAAATAATAAATTTTTATGTTTTTTTACTTATTTTAGAAAAGAAAAATCGCTATGATTTTTTTTTTAAATACAGTAATTTCAAAAGTAAAAGTGGTAAAAAATTCAAAGGAATGATTAATTTAATTTTTAATTTTTTTTTATTTTACAAAAGTAATTTTGGATAAAAATTTGATGTATTAGAAAAAAATTGTAATATAATGAATTTTTACGTTTTTTGACTTTTACTTTTAAAAGGTAAAAAGATCAAATATGCTGTTTTTAAATCAAGGGACCTAACATTCGAAGCAGTAATTTTTTATTTATTTTTTCTTTATTAATTTTTTGTATTTGTAATTTTTTTATTTGTAATTCCAAGCATATTTCTTTTTACAACAGGGTTTCAAAATCTACAATTCTAAAACTTCGATTCCAAAAATATTTTTTTATAAACATTTCCCAACTTTCGAAATACTATTTTTTTTTTAATTTTTTATCGCATTGTATAGGTACACCTTTTTTATAAAATTTTTTCTTGTGAGGATAACAAAAACAATTTCTTTAAAAAATAATTAAAAACATTCAAAATTCGAATTTACAATAAAAAATAATAAAGTAAAAAAAACTATACTATTGAGCTTTGAAGCAAATATTTATTAAGTTTTTAATTTGTTTTTTAAATATACATATATCTATAATAAAAGCTACCCTAAATTTTGGTAAATTTTTTTCAAAATTTAGTTTACTTTATATGTACATATGTATGTATCGTGGCAACTTTAAAATTATTCCGAATTGCATTACGTTAACTTCTTAAAAGTATTTCTCTCACCCTCCTCTTCCTACAAGCTATGTAAATATATACAAACATGCACGGTTACGACTTAATATATACATACAATTAAAAAAAAAACTATACAGTTACTACTTTCGATAAAAAATCTTCAATATTCGTATGACTGGTGCCTCAAACAAAACCGAAATGAAGAAGGCTACACCGAAGGAAGCTACCGCATTCCCCAGAAAAATGGTCATAACGAAGAGATTATTCAGATGAACGATGCCACTCATGCGAAAAGAAGTGATTAGCATTATGACCGGATGAATGAGATAAGTGCAGTAGGTGAGGCGTGAGAGTGGCCAGAGACCACGATAGGATAGGATGCGATTGGCTGTGGGCGCTATGCCCCAACAGCAGGACAAGACGATCCAGATAAGACCAACGCCGAAGGCTGCAGGCGAGCGAGCGGAAAGGGCGAAAAATTAAATGAGAAATTAGTCATTAATAAGTGATGCGCTGCTGCGCAATTTACCTGTGTGACCAACGCTAACGTAGAACGCTGTCGCTAATCGACTGAGTTCCCCACTCCATACGCCGAAAATTATGAACGCCAACAGCGACCAGCTACCCAGCCAGATCAAATAATTTGTGCGGCTACTTATCGCAGGGGGCTTTTTGACTTTGTGAATAATGTAACCGGCTAGCATGCCTGTGGAATGGAATTTTAAATATGTATTTCTAAAAAATCAAAATTAACACTTAAATTTCAAAATTAAAATTCAAAAGTGAAAAAATATTATAGCTTAAAAATTTGAACTCGTAAACAAAATTTGAATAAATTGAAAAAAATTTGAATAAAAAAAATAAAAAATTTAAGAATTAAAACTAAAATCGAATATTGAAAATAATGACTACTGAAAAAGTCCAAAAATAGGATCTGGAATTTTCTAAAACTTGGTTTTATTTAAAAAATTCGATTCAACAATTTAAGAAATTAGGACAAATGAATTCAAAGTAATCTTGAAAAAAATGTTCGAAATTAAGCAGAATGGAATAAAATGTGTTTAAAAATCAATTTGGGAAAAAATTCTAAAAAACTAAAAATTTAAATAAGGTCAAAATTTTTAACATAAAAACTTTTCAAACTAAAAGATTCCAAATAAATTTGAGGAACAAAATTGAAGGTAGTTTTTAAAATTTATAAATCAACTTTTCCTGATTTCGAAAAAAATTATTATCTTTTATTTCTCATATGTTTGAGCATAAGTTTGCATAACAATAAAAATCATCATTTTTTTACTATGCGAAAAAATCTAAATCAGTTTTAATATGTATGTATAGAAAAAATTAAAGCGCCTTAAATTCGTGAAACTTAAAATTCTCGTATTTAAAGTGTAACATAAACTATTTTTAAATGACATCTACCGCCTTAGATATAGGCTATAGAATGTATGCAACTCTATAAATTACAAGTTTTAGGCAAAACAATTAGTGCAAAATTATGTTAAAATTTAAAAAAATTTTAATTTCGTACATAGTTAAATTATTCAAAACAATTTTGTTAAAAAATATTCAACAATAAAATCCAAATTAAATTAAGTTACATACATATGTATGTACACTCAAGATTTAAAATTAAAGACCGACAATGTGTAGATAAAAATTAAAAAATTCAAAATCTCAAGGTTATTGTAATTGAAATTATTTCGCCTTAAATTTTAATAAAAAATAAATTAATGACAACAACAAAAAATGTATACGTATTGGTAAAAAACAACACTAAAAATAATTAAAAATGGAATTTGTTTGACGCTACGCTTTCGTATTTAAATGTTGCAATTCTAAAGAAAAAATTTAAAGATCGAATATTTAAGTTTGAGATTTTTCAAATTAACAGCATAAACTTTGCAAGAAAGGTATTAAACTTAAAATTAAATTAGAAAAATAAATTTTATTTGGTTAATATATTTAACAATTTAAATTTTAAGAAATAAAATCAAATCTTTGGAGGAAAAATTATTAAAAAAAGACAATTTTGAAATTTTTGAAATAAAAAACCATAACAAGATAAATGACAGAAAATACATTGACGTCTCTCTTCCACACGCCAGAGCATAGAAGCTCATTTCACTTACCCATAATGTAGGTGCCAACACGCTGCCAGGGTTTGTCGTAGAGGAAATCGAATGACTCGAAGGGATTGGCCACCTTATGCGTATAACGGTAATGTAGGGAAATAATGCCCGAAACACCCCAAGAACTTAGCAGAAATGAACACAAAATAATGGCAGCAGTTTTGAAATACCTTGAAGTATGTAATAAAAAAAAAAAATTTGAAAGGATATTTTTCATATGCAACACCATTTTGCAAACTCACTTGATGGAGAGCACCAGCAGCAGCGAAGACATCACAAAGAATTGCATATCATTGGCCATATACCAGCTCCAGATCATGCAAATCTCACTGAGTGGATAAAAATTGTTGATATAGAGTATGTTGCGCCACCAAAAACGGCTGCAAGTGTCGGCGGCGACATTCGGCTGGAAGACGGAGTTATCGAAAGTTTGGCTGGAAAAATAAGTAATGGGCAAAAGGGATGAAAAATGCAGTATATTACCATTACAACTTAACGTGATTCCAGCAGGGACTTATTCTCTCAAAATCACAGCCTAAAAGTATGCAATTTAATAATTTGGCGGCAATGCATTTCAATCAAATTTTAATTTAAATCTTCTACCATACCACATGCTTTTAAAATTTTGTATACCACTCTGCTGCCTATTTTCGGGCGCATAACTTTGTGTATACAACATTTCTGATAGATTAAATCCACATTCATCTCTGTTTGCTACATTTGTGGTTGCATAATCTGTGTGTTTGCGTACATTAATTGAAAATACCACAATTGATTATAGCTGGCTCAATGCTATGTTGCATACCACAAGGCGCTTGAGCACAGGATTGCTACAAATCATGATTAAAGTACTTTCAATCGACCGCATTTGCCCCATATACAAATATTGCGAACATTTAGGCAGCATTTTGGGTGATATACGAAAGCCTTATGAGTTTTATGTAGTCTAAATTTAAGCTACGCACACATGCTTTGGCTTGCATTTTTAAATCGAAATTTTGCGCCATAATGTTGCACAGTTTTGAGCTTCAACGAAAATATATTAATGTAAAATTTTAATGAAAACTGTTCGATATTGAATTTTGGCATTAAAATATTCCTTTTTTTTAATTCTTCATTGCATACTTTTAGTCTCAGCAGCTCACCATAAAGACGCTTACATGAACTTAGGCGCCCTTCAATACCAAAAACCACCACCTTCATACTCACCGCAGTGCAAAATCATTAAACAGTATCACAAACAGATACGCTGGCGTCAAGCGTATATAGCGATAAATCAATAGAAATCCTGTATCCTTCATGCTGCGTCGAAAATATTGTCCTGTATCATCGGGATACTTTTTATCCTGTTTAAGGAAGAGTAATGTCACAAGGAAGCCGCTGATGAAGAAGAATGTATCGACGGAAAAGGTAGCATTGCCAACGAACTGATACCAAAACGAACGTTCGACAATGTTGCGCTGGAACTGGGGTAAAATGAAAAGTTGAGAAATTTAGAAATTTATGTATGTACACTTGCCCGCATATATCTGCGTACATAGCAAAAAATCTAGCAATTCTAACTCAAATGGCAAATATTTTAGTCAGTTTTCAATACATTGAACTGTTTGTGCCTTTATTTTGTTTGCTTGGTATTTCTCTTAAGTTCTACATCTTGTAATGATTCATATTTCCACGAATTTTAATTTTTATTCATTTTCAACTGAAATTTGAGACAAAAACCGACTCGCAAAAGTCTGCGTACAGCTGCATAATATGAGCAAAGTGTGATTACCGTTAGCTGAATTCTTAAGAAAACTAATCAAACAAATGCTGAGACAACTTAAGGAGTTTGTATGTTTTAATTTTGAAACAGTTGAAGACTAAAGGTGAATAAATAAAGTCATGGAAAATAAAGGAAAGAAGATTAGTATTGGTGAAAGAAAAATTATTATAAAGCTATATGCTGAGAATAAACCTTTATGGGAAACCGGAGGTATAGTAAGCAGAACTCACTCATCGATACAGAGGGTAGTGTCGAATTATGTCTCAACCGGTTCCATCTTATCAAAACCCCGTGCTGGTCGCCCGTCCATACTAACGAAGCGAGAAAAAGAATGCATCGCACAGTTAGCGCAATTGAAGCTTGAGGTAGAAGAAAGATTTTCCAAAAGAGTTTCCGATGATACAGTCAGAAGAATTTTAAAAAAAGCTGGGTATCATAGCCGAGTAGCCCGCAAAAAGCCACACATTTCGGAAGTGAATAGGCGAAAACGCACGGATTTCGCAAATGAGCATGTGTCTAAGACCCCAGAATTTTGGAACAAGGTTATTTTTCCGATGAAAGCAAGTTTTGCATTTTCGGCATAAAAGGAAAAAAGCTAGTATGGGGAAAGAGGGGCACAGCATATGAAAAAGAAAATTTGATACCAACTGTAAAACATGGTGGGAGCGGAGTAATGGTTTGGGGATCAATGGCAGCTAACGGTGTCTGGAAACTTACATTTATTGACTCAATAATGGATCAAATGGGCTATATACAGGTTTTAAAAGATAATTTACTACAAAGTGCGCAACAATTAGGGCTAAGGGAGGAGTTTTGTTTCCAGCAAGACAACGATCCAAAACATTCCGGGCAAAATGTGAAGCTATGGTTGTTGTACAATGTAAGGAATCAGTTGCGAACACCTCCGCAATCTCCGGACCTTAACCCAATTGAACATTTGTGGGACTTACTCGAGCGTAGGATCCGGAAACATACCATAACCTCAAAAAGTATGCTAAAGGGCATAGTATCGGAGGAATGGACAGAAATTACAGGAGAAGATACAAAAAAACTCGTCGAGTCGATGCCAAAACGTCTTAGAGAGGTGCTAATGAGAAACGATTACCCTACTAGTTACTAGGATATCAGCGGGCATCAATCGCTGTAAAATACAGTTTGTATGCAGACTTTTACGGATGTCTTTTTATATATGGTTTTAAAAATAAATGAATTGAAATTATAAATTGTACTTAAAAATATCTATAAATATAATAGTAGTTAAGATAAATATACTTTTAAGGAAATAAACAAAGTATATTTTGATACGTATTTTATTAGATGAGAAATGTGTGATTTAAGTCGTACGTTCCAATTTTTTTGCACTGTACGCAGAAATATGCAGGTAAGTGTATGTTTATAGGAGTTTGTGTAATGTCCTTGTTTGAGGCTGCAAAAGTATGTTAGTAAAGAAAATATCAGCGGCAAACGCTGCTTAAATCGCAAGGATATGATGATGAACAGCAGGTGAACGTTTGCCGCAAATGTGTTTGTTCGCTTGTGTGTTTTATTGATGTATGTATGTATGTATGTATGCATGTATCGTAAGTGCTTGAAAGCAAAATATTTACTCTATTTTCACCGATGGTAAACATTTGCAAATACGTATGCACCATTATCGTCCACAGCACGGAGAAGACGCGCAAGCCATGCACACAGGAGGTTTGTTGCTGGAGAAGGAGAAATGCAAAGAAAAAACGAAATAAGAATAATAAAAACATTAAATATAAAGCAGCAAAAAGATTTTTTTCGGAAGTACATAATGTAGCTACTGCTAATGCTTATAGGCTGCATTTCTTTATTCATTCTGAATGTTTGGAATAAACTTTTTTGTTTACTTATTCTTTAGAACGTTCCTGATGATATGTTAACGTATATTTCAAACGCATTCTGTTTATTCCGGCTGTGAAATGGGATTATCCGGAATGTAGAAAGAAACGCAGCCATAATGTTTCCTAAGAAATACAAGCAGCGTAAAAGGAAAAAGGAAATTATTCGCCATGCTTATGATGCTGTTCATATTTTTTTACGTATTAATTTTAATTACCGACTTGAAAGTAATTATTTTGCTTATCTTCAAATGTTTGTTTGCTTTGCAATAGTATTATTTTTGAACCTTAATTTTGCGATTGGCCCTTGACTGCGATTTGAAATGAATGTAAAATTCAGGATCTGCAAAGTGTCGCTAACAAAATAAAATTGTATCTAAAACATACACAAGAGCGTTAAAAACCAATTTAAAAAATTTCCCACACGGGAAAAATAATTTCCCAAAAGGGAAATTTCATAAAATATTCTTAAATGTGATAGTCAGCTCAAATAACTATGTGAAAAGTTATTTCGGAAAAATATTCCTTATCTTTAAACAATTTCCCAACATAATTTCGCCAAAAAATATCTAGCGATGCATGTACTATATTTTTAGATATTACCTCTAAGGCTTGTTTTAAAACACTTTATTTTTTAGAAGGCATATTTTGACATACAACTCATATCTAAAAGGAAACATTCTTATATTTATGTTCACATGAATGTACATACATATCGTCGCTTGACGCGCAATACCACGTATAAGATAGTCAAAAAAATTTCTCAAAATAGCAAAAAAAGTATTTTCTTCAAAACTTTTGAATGGATTTCTAACTGAGCTTGCAAAATATGAGCCTCTAATATAATTATTCACCATGAAATTTATAGTTTAGGTTAAAAATTGAGACGGGGTAACCAAAATTAAGTTTTTTCAGTGACACCTCATACGTGGTATTGCATTTGACATATACGAGGAATTGCGCGCCAAGCGACGATATGTATGTGTGTGTCAAATAGTTAAAAAAAATTTCAAGGAAATTAGGTTTTTTGTTTTTCGAAAAATTTCTTAAAATGTAAAAATAATATCTCTTCAGAAAAAATCCCCCTCTTTTCAGAGACTCAAAATCAAGTGTTTACAAAATTAGACATTTTCTCTAAATGTGTAGCACTTCATCGATCCCATTTCATTAAATTCTTAAATTTCTTAAATATGGAAAAAAAATTTAATTGCTTTTCTAAGAAAAATAGTGCTCTCACATTTTAGAAAAATATGAAAGATTACTTCTAATGTATGAATTTGCAATAACATAATATGTAGAATTTTCATGGTTTTATTTATATGTTTTTGTATTCGATTTTTTTATTTCGGAATATGGAAAACCTTTACAGTGCTCTATTATGGAAAATAGTGCGCTTACAGTTTAGAGAAGTGTACTTCTTATGAATGTATTTATAACAACATAATCGCATTCTAATAAAATTTCCCCAATGGGAAATTCAAAATAAACTGCTTTTATTGTGTGCAAATATTGTAAAGCTGTTTGTTTAGTGTACTTCCGCAAAAATGTTGGGTTTAAAAAATTTCCCTGCAATGGACATTTTAGTAAATTTTGAAAAATTGCTTCAATTTGTCTAAAAATGCCACAAAACCGTCAGGAAAGTAAATTTCAACTAAAAACCGTGAGTTAAAAAATGTCCCTTCAAGGGAAATTTAGAAAAATTTTGCTTACTCTAACTAAAATATTTCAAAGCTGATAAGCAGTAAATTTAAGCTGATGCAAAAAAATTTCCTTTTAAAGAAATTCCCAGAAAATTATAAATTTTACCTAAAGCCTACAATCTTCATTCAACTCTCCCTCAGCTTCATTCATGCATTTAATTCATATGAATTCTCAACTTCAAAAGGCTTGCCTTTTATCTTTAACCTTCGCTGCTAACTAAGTCAACGCATACTGTGCCATCTGTTAACTTTGTTTGCAACAATTTTTTTATTTTTATCTTTCATACCACAATTTGCACTTCAAAGTTTTGCAAAGTTCACAGGAGGACGCATAGCACCAACAACAAAAAATGTAAAATACGAAAGCAGCTTACCTCTTTGTTCTCTGTCATGTTGAGGATACTGCCGGCATTTGTTTGAAATGCAAAACACAATAAAAATTTCTCATGCAAACCTGAAATGCATAATCAAAATGTTTTGATTGCAAACTTTACCTTTTGTGCGCTCACACTCAACGCTCTCCACATACGCACCCAATTGTTTTCTCGTCTCATAAGTACTCGACGCACCCATACTGCTGCTCGTTTCCAGGCGATAATCGGCCATATGTGACTTCTCGACATCCGTTGCGGAAAGTTCGCCATGGATGCGCCGCACACTGCTGCTGTTGCTTGCAATACTCCCACCGCCACCGCCACCGCCTCCGCCACCAGCAACACCACCCCCTTTCGTAGTTCCCACTGTCGCTGCGGCTGTGCCTGCTGCGCCATTGCTATTCCCATTCGCTTGTCCGCCAGTGCCGTTTGCGCTGCTGCTGCTACTGGCGCTATTCGCCGTTTTATTTCCATTCACATCCGCCTCAATGTCGAGCACATTGTTGTTCTCCGTTGTCAGTGTGCTCATCTGGTATAGTTCGAAGGCTGGCACTGCTCTTGTTGATTTGAATGCACCTGAATTGCCGCCACCGGCATTATTAGTGTAGGTCCCCGCGACACTGGCATCAATTGTTGCAATGCCATCGCCGCCACCGCCACCACGGCCACCGCTGGCACCGGCGATTGCGGCCGCCATGACAGCATCAATTTTCGCACTAATGGCCGCAATGTGCGGCGAGCTGAGCTGCAGTTGATTTAATTTCGCCTGATACCAGGTGGCTGTGATGACGAGTAGCAAAAGTGAGAATACGAAACTTCTGAAAAACAAAAGTAAAATGGGAATTTTTGTTCGAACTGCATTTTTTGAATGAGTATGAAGCGGAAAGTTGCTGATAAACTCACAGAAATATTTGAAATTTTAGTTCGCGCCAATAGCTGAAGGCGCCGGGCACTGCACGCACATGTAGCACTTGTATGATGGTGTGGTTGCCGCTGCTGCTATTGCTGTGACCATGGCCAATACTTTGGTTGTATTGTGCTTGATTGATCGCCGCGGTATTTAGTGCAACAAGCATTTGAGCATGTGGATCCAGTGTGAGTATGGCGTACACGTCGTGTGCATTGCAGGAACGTGGTAAACACTCGCCCACTTGGAGGTTTACGTGCTGAGGAGTTGGAAGAGAAAAGGGAACGAACAAAGCGATGAAGGATGTGAACTATAAAGCTTTTTTCATTCTTGGACGTGAAAAATAAACCGTTCAACAATTTCCCTTGTTAGTTAAATTACCTGCGTTTGCAACAATATTTCACCTTCCTAAAATTTTGCCCAAAGGGAAGTTTTAAAAAATGCTTCGGTTTACTAGTAATATTTCATAAAATGTATTGTGAAGTAAGTTTTTTTTCGAAAAACCATGTATTTATAAAATTTCCCTCTAAGGGAAATTTTTGAAAAATTATCAAAAATTGTCGCTATGTGTGTTTAAAATTTCCTACTGTGCTCAAATTAGTTTCTTTGCACTTATTTTGCTTTTCCCAGAAGGGAAATTTTTGAAATTCCTTGATATGCTTGTAAAAATGTACATATGTACATATTATCAAATTCGTTGATCTATAGAATATTCTCGTCTGGCAGTGATTAGAGACAATATTTTTTTACACTTAGAGCGGTTTAATCTTTTCGTTCGGATGCTGGTAATACCAGCCTAACTTAAGCCTACTTACCAACTGTTGCGGCATCGACAGGTGTAGCGCAACCAAAGCAGCATAAAATTCAAATTCGAAATGTTTACGCTCATCTGGATTTAGTTGCCGATTAAGTTCATAGCAGAAATTCTTCTGACCCAGCCATTTGTCGTTGCCGAAGAATAATTGTCCACGGTAACGGCCGGAAGCATCGTATGCTGGAAGATACCAATTTTAAAAGAATGCAATTAAAGAGAGAAATAAAAAGAAAGTCTACAAAAACAAAGAAATGAGTAAAAGAACAACTAATCACTGATAAATTTTAAAAGTGCAAAAAGTACAGCTTAAAGTCTGAATCGAAAAGTTATGCTGCATAAGCACTAGCGCTATTAAAAAAGAAAATTTCTGTCAGTCCGTTCAGCCAACATAATTTTCTAGTCTTTTTTCCTATTTTTCTCTTTCTCTCCCTCACTTTATTCTCTCCTTTAGCGCACTTTTATCGCTTAATATCGCGCGCCCTTGTTTGTTGAAAGTTCCACAGACAACACCATTCGCCGGTTGAAACAACAGAACTAACGGTGTCGGTAGCAATACAGTGAATTGCAGATTTTACAATGTTAAGTGCAACTTTATTACCAGCAACAGCAGCAGAGTGCGAAATGCACCGTAGTAAATTTTGTTGTTATTTGCCTTTTAAAACGGTAAACGGTTGATTGTTAAATCGTAAGCGCTTGGGGGAAATTTAAAAGATTTTTTTTTGTTAATATGAAGACTGAAAACAATTTAGTAGCTTCAGTTTCGATTATTTTTTTTGCATTTACACAGAATTTCTCATGAAGGAAATTTTTAAATTTTTTAATTTTTTACTAGAAATACATATGTATTATAAAAAATTCTTATGAAGAACAAATTTGTTTATAAAATTTCCTTTTTTCCAAATTAGCGGGAATTCCCGTCAACATATTTAGTAGTAGTGTTAAGTAAATAGTATTATTAATATTGTTTTTAAACTGAATTTGCATTTTAATAAAATGTCCCATGAGGGAAATTTTTAAATGTTATTTATTTAATATGAAGACTCTAAAGGCAATTTAGAAGCTTGAATGTGGTATATTTTTGCATTTTCACAAAAGCGCTCATGAGGGAAATTTTTAAATATTATTTTTTACTAAGAATGTTATAAAATATTCTTACGAAGAAAACAAAGCTTTATAATATTTCCTATCGAAATATTTTTTTTTTTTCAAATTAGCTGGAATTCCCCTCAAATATATTTAAGTGCCTAAAATAGTATTCTTTTAATTCTTCAGAATTTCTTCGCTGGGAAATTTTTAAAACTGACCCCCGCCCTGTGGATGTAAATTCTACCAAACCCTGCTTTTAGAGCCTATGTGCAAGTTCCGAAAGATATATGTACACTTCAGGCGCCTCATCCAAAATACTACGAGTAGCAAATGTCCAATCATGAAATGCTCATCAATCATGCACCAGTGTTTACTTAGAATTGCTCAATTTGCAAGGAATGTGGCGCCCACATTGCGAAAGTGTAGTGCAATTTATGGGTGCGCATCATCATCAGTTTTTTTTTTGGGAAATTAGACTAACTTTAGCTTGATTGAAATTCAAGCTGGCGCCATGTTTTCTCTCCCTCACCCTGCGCTGGCCTACAACGCAGTCATTAACTGGCGTACGCTTCAACGTTTGGCTGGTTTGGCTTCTGCGCGGGTTATGTGTGTCACCTTCGTAATCATCATTAGGCTCTTTTTCTCTCCTATACTTTTGCTGTTGATTTGCGCATTCACGTGTAATAATTACCAGCACACAATTCATGAACACCGAATTCAATTGACTGTAAATTCATTTGTCTGAAATGATTTATGTCGTGTAACACAAAAGAGGTTGGGAAACAAATGATAGAAGTTTGAATGTGGGGGTCATCACAGATAAAAGCACAATGGAAAGAACTGTAAAAGGACATTCGACTAAATTCGATTAATGTGGAGGACTGTAATTAGGCTCAAACCTGGCACTAACAACAAAACTTGTTGAAGAGATTTTCAGTTTTCCAGCCCAATAATCAATTATATGTATGTTTGTTGGAAGCAGATTTATTTGTGCCGCTTAAATTTATAATTTCATTACTTTCAAATGCTCTTTCGGATGAACAAAGTAATGCGCATTTGAGTTGGTTATAAACGTATGAAAAATATGGGTATTTTCCTAATAAGGAGGAAGTGGCGGCGGCCGTTGATAAAACTTCTTTCGAAAAAAATAATATTTTGGTTGCAAGAAATTAAATGTTTAAAAAATACCGTGCATCAAAGCGAATTCATTTCGATTTTGAATATTATCATACTATAAAATTTTCCCTGACGGGAAATTTTGAAATTTGGATTATTTTTATTAAAAATGCCATAATATGACTGCGGTATTATATTTATACAGATATAATATATTTTTAACAAATTTCCCTTAGAGGGAAATTTTTGGAAAATTAATTTAAATTTATTTTAAATATATTTATGTGCCTAAGATAACATTATTTTATTTTTCGCATAATTACCCACTTGGGAAATTTTTCAAATAGTTTTAAAATATCGCAAAATCACGTGTAGAGCATTTGTGAAAAACATTTCTAGTAAAAAGCAAGTGTCCGAAAAATTTCCCTTTAAGGGATTTTTTGGAAAAGTTATCGATATTGCTTTATAAAATCAAAAATTAGAAGGCGCTACCCTCTATCTCAAAATGTCACTCGAAACCATACGAAACTTTCTTCTGATAGACTTTCACGGGAAATTTGAGGCAACTTGTAATGCAGGCAGGTAAAACGCTGAGGAAAATTGCGAATTCCATATAATCATCAAATAAAGCCTAAATATGTTCACTAACTTACCCTTTTGCGCCCAGTCGAAGTTCCCATGCAAGCCCGTCAAGTACGCCTGCATTTCCAGTCCGCAAGCGGTCGACACTTTTGTGCGTATTTCCGACGCCTGCCAATAAAAGTGATCATACAAATTGGTGATGATTTGAAAGAAATTAGCGGAATGTAGACTAGCAGCCGTTGCGTTCACTTCCCCTACAATAGTGTCCACGCCAAAATAATGACTGATGCTATTAACGTTATTGCCCGCTGCCTTTGGTGTCTCCTCCTCCTGCTTGAGCAGTTCGCGCCCCTTCTTCAGCGTTTTATTTTTATGCACCTTAAAGATGTGTGGACTTATGGTGGCCACAACATTTGGTGTAGTAATAATTGGCGCTTGTGTTGTGGTGCTAGCAAGAGTTGCATTGGTGGCCAATAAACTATTCTCTGTGGTATAAATATGTACTGTTACATCGGTTGCACCACCAAAACCTTCCAGGCCCACCTCACTTCCGAGACCCACGTAGGGCACGCGTTCATTGTAGCTGAGCACAGGTTCCTCGGCATTGCGTAGTAAATGCTTCTCTTCGGCGCTGAGGTCGCCCTTCTTCACGGTCTCATGCTCCAAATCCTCCAAGTCGCTTAGATTAAAATCGAAAGTGACCGGATGTAGTTCGTACTCTTTGAGCGTGCGCGCCTTCTCGTACTCAGGGAATATCGTTTTGTCGAGCAGTGTATAGGGTTTCTTCTTCAACGGTTTTACGGGCAGCACTTCGTGTGTGTTCAGCACGAGTGGTCGATCTGCGTGCGTGGCGATTTCATGCACTTCGTGGAGTATGGTTATGTTGTTGCTGCTGGAGAAGCGATGTGGCACGAAATAACTCTCCGAGCTAGCGGCATCTGTTGCTCGCGGTGTTGTGCTGTTGTTGCTGGTGGCATTGGCACTGCTGTGCTCGTTTTTGATGGCATGTTGGAGGCAGTAATGGGGCAGCAGCAACTGTAGAAATATTAGCTGCGAGCAGCGTAGAAGAAGACGTCTTTGGGTTGAGGGTTTTCGGCGGCCGGCTGAGTGTGCGTGAGGCATTTTCGTTTAGCTGCTGAACTTATTTTCTCGATTTTTTGTTAAATGAGTATGACTTTTCTTATCATTGCGAAGTTATTTAAAGCATTTGCTTGTTATTGTATTTTTTGCACTTTGCGGAGTTAATTCGCTCATTCTTTATCACTCTTATTAATTCACTTTTTTTTAAACTGCGTTAGGTTTTAGTTTGATTTAAAGAAATAAAGGAGTTGGTGGAGTTAAGAAACCTAGAAAAAAATTACAAGAGCTTCTTCACAAAAACAATTAGTGACTACCACGCCACGAAACAGCTCTCAAACTGCTAGAATGACTCTAGACAAGAATAAAAGACTTATCCGAAGGCTATGAGGTTACAAGACATGAAAAAAATTTGTCTTGGGATTCCTGGCAAGAAGAAAACCTCGACTTTAAATCTGCGTATAAGTTTTCTTCTTAGTGGACCTGACTACTCGAGGAAAAGTTCGTCTGTCCGCAACTCAACTGTCTGAACATTTGGAGGAGGAATGCCTAGGTTATCGTTACAAAGAAATAGGGGAGGGAAGCATTAGCGCTCACAAGCGGTGGATTTTGGGGTATGTTTTTTACACTTTACAGCCTTTACAGCCACTGATATGTACTTAAGAAGGATTCGAAGATTTAGTTTGCCAACTTCGAATTCGTTTTACAAAAATGAGCTACATAATAAAAATACAAGTTCAGTTAATTTTTGCGGTATTCGAAAAATTAAAAAAATGGGGCATTTGTGAAAAATCGCCATTTCTATCGGAAACCAAAAACCAGAAATCGAGGAAAATGAACATAAAAGTGGTAAAAATTCCATGGAAGTAATTAATTAGTTTATATTAAAATTCCTTTGTAACACTTTTTACTACTTTTCAAAGTTGAGCGCATAATAAGTAATTTTTAAGCAAAAAACACAACCGACTTAATTTACCATATACATATTTAGGAGTACCGTTAATTTTTTCATGATCCAATGATCGGATCTAAACCAAATTACGGGACTACCCTTAAGATACCTTCATTCCGATAAAAAAAAATATATATATTGAAATCGGTTCACGCGGTGCAAAGTTATGCGGTGGCATACATAAAAGAAGAAAATATACTCCGAAGAATTGATAACCTCCCCTTTTTTGAAGTCGGTTAAAAATGTTTGAGTTCTTTGTTAATTTTATTTAAATAAAATTCAATTTACGAAACTTAAATTTTTTTTTATTACATACCTAGTGTACATAAAACTTGCGTAAATGCATTTTAAAAAGCGTATTATCTGAAGCAGTATTTTCTGATAGTATCTATACATATATTTGGAAGTATAAATAATTTTTTTTAAAAAAGAAAAGAATAAAATACCATTTAAATTTTTTAAATATTCCGAAAAGATTTGCCACCCCTTATAATGTAAAAAAATTAATTTAATAAATTTACTGTTTTTTAATTTAAAACCTTGAATATGGTTGCCAACTGCAAAAGGTTTGAAAATTATTTAAAAATGTAAATATGACAAATGTGAAAACACTATGCACTGTATTACGGGTATGAGTAAGAGATGATTTGGAGAGTTTTGTTTTGTGTAGGTTTTGAGCAGGGGTGCCAAAGATACACATTTTTTAATTAATAATTAGGTAACTTTGTAAAAACATTTATAGGAAGTTAAATTACGAAAACGTTTTAGCAACAATTTTATTTAAACAATTTTTACTACAGTTGCCACCACAAAAAATAATAAAAATTAAAAAAAATTACTAAAAAAAAAAAAAATCAAACTTGTTTGTTTTCAAAAAATGAATTAAATAATAATAAATAGAAAGTTTAATCCCTTCAGTAATTTAAAATTTTTGAATTTTTATAAAAAATGTGCGAGACATTTTTTTCTGTACTTTATTGCTTTTTACTTCTTAAGCCTTACGCTATAAACACATGCAATTTCATGGCTAAAACAAAAAAAAAAAAACTAAAAAAGTTACCGCCTTAAAAGTTACTGATGTGCCTTCAGATAGGCTATAATTTTTGCAATTTTTCTTTTCCAATGCACTAACTGTGGCAAGTTAATGCCTTTAATAAGTATGTCATAACTCTTTCTACACCCACAATCCAATAGCTTCTCTCATACTCGCACTAACACTCCCTCTCTCTTTCTCGCTCATCATCATCTGCACTCTTCATACATTTTCTTTCACGCATCCATTTGTGGTGCTGGTAATTTATGAATGAAATAAACTCGTTTGCATCAGCTTTGATGGCTACGATGAACGATTTTTTCTTACCACATAAGAAAAGTAACAACAACAAACTAACAACAATCCGCTTTTTAAATGGTACGACGCCACTAAGACAGGAAGTGACTAAAGCAATGGTCATAAAACCGGGGATTTTTTTTTTTTGTTTAACCACTTTTGCCATTTCACTTTCAATTCAATTTTAGTGGCACAATAAAAACCATACGCGATAAAGGCACGTGTGTGCATAAAAGTAAGAGAAGAAAAGGCGTAGTAAATAGCAAGAAATTAAAAAAAAAATTGCAAGTGATAAAGTGTGAAATGCAGTTGAAAGAAAAGTGCAATCGTGCTGTTGGCAAGTCAGCTGTGGTCGCGAGCGTGCAGGGCGTTCAAGTGTTGCAGACGTGCCGCGGCATAGAGCGCAATGGAGCGCGCTAGAGCGGCCGGTGAGCCAATTTCAACGCCGCAGACAATTGGGCATAAGTTTCGACAGCGAACTGTCGCGAAAGAAACTGTAAAAATGCAGGTGAAATAAAAACAAAATAAATTAATTAAAATAAAGCGAAAAAAATAAATTTAAATAAAGCGAAGAAAAATAAAATAGATAAATAAGAAATAGTATAAAAAATAAAATCGCGCGTATTGCAACGCCACACGCTTAACCTGTTTCATCAGCTGTCTGCAAGTGAGTTGTTTTTTGCTACCACCACATTATATTTTTTTTTTTTATATTTTGGACTTCTTTTACCTGCACGTCGTCGACACACTTCCAGCTGCAACGGTGCATATTTGGATTTTTTTTTTTTCATTGGAATTTGTTTTGCACATTCAAATACCAGTTGCACGTGTTATTACGCGATCTTTTTGTGCGATTTCGTGCTTAGTAAGTGTATTATGTAAAACCCGCTTATTGAAAGGGTATGCAGGTCTGTATTGAATAGAGCTACATAATTTAATATTAATATGGGGGCTTTAAAGCAATGCCAAAGAGTTTCAGTAAAAGACTTCATGGAAGATCTTGTTTGCTTTAAAATACTATCCTAAAAATTGTATGCTCCTGAACTTCTTCAGAACTGAACTGTGCAATCTTGAGACATTTTCTTGCATCCCTTTCATGCCTACATCTTACGCAGATGGCTCGAAAAGCGATTATCGGAATCCAGATTAATGTGAAATGTGGGGCTATCTGAACTTCGAAAGAGGATATGGACGCTTTTTAGCCGAGCCAGGAAATTCGCTTTATCAACGAACTCGGCGTAGAGAGATTGCAAATATAAGGTAGTCTTTGGAAAGCTGGCCGGTCTCTATACTCTATCAAAAGAAGAGGCCCTCTTGCTCGTTCGGGGAATGCACTTTTCTTTGGGTGAAACAACACTGCGGTAGAGGTGCGTCTGACCGGTAGAGATTCATCCTAGACTTCTCTCTAAACAAGTCACCTGGCCCGGATGGTATCTAGACCGCGCTCTGTAAAGGAGGCATATACGTATATCTCGTTCCACATCGAGGGCTATCATCCTTTTTTTTGGTTGACTCAATGACAACAGGTCTCCAAGGAAAGTTTACTTAGATTACTCTGACTGAGCTGAATGACCTGATTCGTAATACCATGGACGGTAAGCACTATGATCAGACGGACTTTATGGATATTGCAATGACTTTCGACAGTACTGAATTTCACCGAATTTGTTGACTGACTGGCTTATTGTGATGCTCGAAAACAGAATTATTGTTGCCACACTTTGAATCTGAACTGCCACTGTCTAATTCCCTTGGGAATCTTCTTCTACAATTTTGGGCACTGGACTCATTGTGCCGGGCTCAAAAATTTTGACGCAGGCTACTTTTCATCACAAGTGCAGCAGTCCAAACGGAGTTTCCGGCGGCCAAACAACTGAAAAGGAGATCTTACTCTAACCGCCTCGTTTGCAATTGGCTGCGAATAATTGGGATGTTTGGCGATTATAAAACTGCTTTATGGAAAAGTGGGGGATGAAATCCCGAAGTATTCTGTAAAAGAGTCTAAGTACCTGCACCTTTGAGGTTATATTAATCCCCAACAAAGAAAAAAACGCTTCGTCATTTGTGTGTCGAAGCCAAAAAAGTCTCCAATTGCCGTTATCCTTTGCGAGATACCTTCACTGTGTTAGTGGGGGCAACCTTGCAATTGTTTTAAACCCATGCGGTGCCGAGTCGTTACGTCTTTTGTCTCGAGATGAAAGTTTTATCAATCCTACTGAAGCAGCTCATGGTCCTCATGTATTGGCTGGGTTCCCTCAAGTAGATCGATTTGGTAGTATCTTTGGTCTCAATTACGAAGGGTAAAAGGAGGCTTTAGTGGAATTCCAAGGAAAATTGGTGGGAGGGTTTTCAAGATGCCTTTTTTCAAGAAGTTTGACTAAGCCCCTGACGAGAAATCCATTACCAAAATTTCGGAGAATGCACCGCAAACTTTGCGAAAAGCTAGACGTATTCATGAGTAGGGATGAAACTATACCATGCAGTTATCGATACTTTTACTTGAAAGTAGTATCGTAAGAAAGTATCGATATACGAAAAATATCGAATCTAAAGTATCGATATCTACTCGTATCGGTACTTTTGGCTATGAAGGTATTCCGTATGAGCTGGATTAAGTTAAATTTTTAAAGTAAAAAATAATTATCCTCGACGAGTTCCAAACTCCGAATAATAAAAATTTATAAGTTGACAAAATTCCAGGTGTATGTCCCTTATAGTAAAAATTAACGGATTTTATATGATGAGTTCTTAGAAAGCTCAAATTTCGATACGAAATTTCTGGGCTGGGCTACGTTGAACATTTAAAATTTTTTTTTGTCATCCACGCTTTGCACCGTACTCTTTTCTCCTTTGCTTCTTTTTTAAATAATAGAGCTAGTCTCCACCACCTTTAATATTGTCCGATAATGTTTTCAGCGCGAAGAATAATAGAGCTACACTGTACAATGGGCCATGTATACGCCGCACAAAATCAAACGATAAGAGATAGCGAAATAGCTGTAACGATGTTTAGTAGCTTTTGAGGTGGGATATTCAGGCAAAATAGTCTCGGGCTGTAGAATAATT